TTTTTTATCGATATTAATTTTAATCCTTATATTTTCAAATTTTTCCAATAATAAACTAAAATTATATTTTGTAAAATAAAATTCTAATTTAACTTTGAAATATATGAAAAAAACAAATTAAAATAAAACTCAACACATCAAATCATCTCAACATAACTTCAAATAAAAAAAACTCAATAATCATAATGCAAAATAATAAGAATTTATAAGATCTAAAATAAAAATTAACAATACTCTAAAAAATATCGGGAAAGTACTTTAATTTTTTATAGGATTAAAAAAAAAACTGTAGCTTTTCCACATAACATGCTTTTTTTTTCTATTGGTTTGATTTTTTTTTTTTTTTTATTCTTTTTTGTTTTCAAGTTTTTTTTAAAATTATCTTTGTCGATTTTTTTTAATATTAAACTGGTTAAAAATTTTATTATGTAGTTTTTTTTTATTTTAAACACTATGAATTATTACAAGGTTTCCCTACATGATTTTTTTTCTTTTTATAATGATTTTTTTTTTCAAAATGATCCCTGTCAATTTTACTTCATAGGTTTTTTTTTAAATAATATAGATTGTTATAATGTTTCTCTTTATGGTTTTTGTTTTGTTACAATATTTCTCCACATGTTTTTTTTCTAAAATTATCTTTATCAATTTTTTTAATGTTGAGCTTGTTAAAGAATTCAGTTTTAACTTTCACCACATGTTTTTTTTTTTAAATTGTTTTTTTTTTCTTTTCAAATTTTTTCTGTTTTTTTATAATTTTTTTTATTGATTTTATTTTTTTTAATATGGAGCTGATTAAAATTTTAACTTTGTATTTTTTTAAAATATCATGAATTACTATAATGTTTTTCCGCATAATGTTTTTATTTTTTTATGATTAATTTTTTCTAGAATTGTTTTTGTTGATTTTTTTTATATTGAACTAGTTGAGAATTTAACTTTGAAGTTGTTTATTTAAAATATTATGGATTGCTACAGTATTCCTCTACATTATTTTTTTTGTTATGATTTTTTTTTAAAATTATCTTTATTGATTTTATTATTTTAATATTGAGCTAATTGATGATTACAATCATAAATTTCCTCATGAAACATTATAAATTGCTACAGTATTTTTCTACTTGGTTTTTTTTTTCTTTTATTTTTCTTTTATTTTTTTATAATTTTCTTTGTCTATTTTATTTTTTTTAAATATTAATTTAATTAAAAATTTAGCTTTATAAGTTTTTTAAATACTATAAATTATAATAATTTTTTTCATATATATATTTTTTTCTATAAATTACAATAACACACAAATATATCACAAATCTACAGCATTACGCTGGTATAACATCTGGTGTTATCTAAAAGAGGTAGAATATTTAGTGTAGCTTTTATTTTATCGTTACAATACACTTATAGTCATTATGAATTGAATAATAACATTATGATTTTGCCCTCGACTATAAATCATAAATAGCCTCGGAAGTGGGAGGGTAAAGTGGTCTTTTATGCTTTGTACACAGTAAAATTAAGCGCGCAGGGGATTTTTATTTATTTTTCACAATTAAATTTATCAAAATACTCTTAAATTAAAATTATCTTTGCCTTAGGTCAAGTGGTTTTATGTTTTTTTTATTATTATTATTGTCTGATCAGCGGCAATCTTTAGGCATGTATAAAGTATAAATTAATTTTTAAAAGTCAATTGTTCCTGACATTCACAAGGACGCATATGAATTCTCTCACGATCTTTCTATGGAGTGTACAGTATCATTCGACGGCCAAAACTAGACTTCCACGATGACATTTTATTTCTCATGGCATAGCATTCATTAATGGGAGGTCTATTTTACCAAAAAAAGTGTTGCTTTTTGCTTGGTGATCATTTCTTTTTTTCTTTTTTTTTCTTGATTTAAAAGCCTTTTCTTACATATTTTTAAAATAGCCGTTCATTTTTTTAAAATTTGATTTTTATTTTTTATTGCTATATTTTTATTTTAAACAATCTATAAAATTAGAATTCTCTTTCAATTTAACTTTTCATTGATTTGGGCCAAAGATATATTTAGAAAGACACACCCTTATATTGATCCCTTTTATTTTATTTCTTTTTATTTTGATATTATGCCAAACAAGTTATTTTTGGATATCAAAAAATTTCAAAAACATTTAAGGATCTTCATTAATCTATTTATGGTCCCTCATATTTGTTTTGTATTGTTTTGATAACTTTTGCATTATATTTGATTTATAGGATATGAATATGATATACAATACATTTTTTTTCTAAAAGAAAAATAAAGATAAAAAAATTTAAAAAATAGTTTTCTTTTCTTTTAATTTAAATTTTACGGATTATTCATTAACACCAGAGTCAGGAAAATTGTATTTTTTTGCTACGTAATATTTATCAACATCAGAGTTGGAAGTATCTGTAGTTGAATATTCACTAATACTAGAGTAAAAAATATTACAAGTATACCATTGGTAGCATAGTATGCCAAACCTTTAGCAATTTAAGACAAATCAGTAATTTAGTTTACCTCAAGTAGGACGCTTAAGGGATAATAATATCTTTTTTTTTTGCGTAATCAATTCCATACTATAAAATCTTTATTGACTAATAAGGGTTTCCAGTGACTATAATATTAGGTGACGACTCCTTAAACAAGACCTTTTTCATCAAAGAATAAGATGTTGGAAACTTATTTTTTTGTGAAGATTAATTTTTAAAAGATCACTGCAATGTTGAGTGCAACAACGACCAATAAACAAATTAGAGAAAACATTCTTAAACTCCTTGGTGCCCGCCCTAGTAGAAGTTCAAGCTGTCGCTTCATTAGTTGATAAGGTATGAAGTTGAGGCAGAGAAAATGTCATCATATAAGCCTTTATTGGTGAGACTAGAGCATGAGCAACCACTGAGGTAAAGACTCTTTTTCTCTTAAAATGGGTGGCAACACTGTAATCACCACAGGAGGAGTCAAATTTACTACTTCATTGGATAAGGGAAAATTATGACCCTTATCTTTTATAGAGGTTATGACCCTCACCACTATCTCTATAAAGGTGCAGCCCTAAAGAGTAAGGAGATCCCCGATAATGAAAGGAAAAGATCCTATCATGTCTTCATCCTTGCCTCTACTGGTTTCATGAGACAAAGATCTTCAAACAAATCCTTGATAGAAGGTTGTCCTAAAGATTCTTCTTCTTCTTTAGCTATTAGTCATGTTGGGATAAACAAAGGTCAGATTTTTGTTTACAATAAAGTGAAAAAAAAAGAAGGAAAAACAAGGTAGCAACATACCTTGCAAAATAGCCTGATAATATCATTCGTCCATTCTATTGACTTCATAATTAGTCAAAGTCAAATCCAATATGACACAATCTTTCTTCTCATTCAAGCTTAGACAACGAGGCTTGTAGTTTATTTTATGAGGGAGACCTTTTAAAAGTGGAAACAACCCCATATTGGTTATAGTCCTTTTGTGGGATCGACTATCCCAATGTATCTTATGCCCAATCATCTTCCCCTTCACTTTTTAATATGTGTTGGCTTCCAAGTCAACATTTTTTTTATAATGTCATTGTTTCTATTAGTAAAGGTAGGGAACCATTGCACCTTATTGCCACCATCAATGCTAGTGACTAGTTGATAACAACTTCTCAAAACATTGACTATGGGCTGAAGCTCAATGATTATGCAAAATTTTTCAAAAAAGAACAATATTGTCCACTTGTTGAACAAAGAAGGAGCATCCCATTGAATACATGTATATAAGGGTAGTGATTTCAAAATAACTTTTGATAGAGCCTAGGGTCTGCCTGCTAATACACTTAGCATGTAGGGCATTTAAGCTATGTACTTGCTTGGTTGATGATGAGCCAAGAATTCCATGTTCATAGCACATACACTACTGGGGATGTCCTCCCTAGGATTCTAATGCAACCTCTCTCTCTCTTTCTCTCTTCTCTCTCTCTCATGAATGTCTTTGTCGGGCACATAAGAAGGATTCATATGAGACTATTTCTCTTAAGCCTTTTTGGTAGGGGTAGAAGATGGACTCTTACGAGAAGATCTTCTATCATTTTTATTAAAGGAAGTCCCAATATGGCACCCCTTTTCATCTTAAAGCCTAGTATAAGGACCACTGTCCCTTGCCATTTCTTTTAGATTTTATTGGAAACTTGAACTCCTCATTAGGATTAGAGTGCTTTTCTATTTAGAAATAAATTTTATATTTTTATAATCCATTCATTCTTATTCTCTCTCTCTCACACACACACATGGAAAAAAGTCATAAGAATGTATTTGCAAGACTTTTCTTGGAGAGGTGATAGAGGATCATCTCTGCGAGAATAGTTTTTCTATCAAAAATCACTAAGTAAAAATGACTAGAGTTATAAAAAAAATAAATTTCTTCATCCTTATTGTCGGATGAAAAAATTATCATGTCATCATATTTCTTTAAAAAACTACTCATATACTGCATTGAAAGTTAGTTGTCATTTCATTCTCCAATGCAAATCATGTCCTAGTAAAAGGAAGCCACCTAGACTTGAGGATTCTAATAGTAACATAAAAGATGCATAAAATCTTATAAAGAAAACAAAAGTGATCTCATAAAGGATGTATAAAATCTTATAAAAAAAATAAAAGGGATCTCATGAGGCTTTTCAAAATCTTTGCATATAGTACCTAAATATGTGGTGGGCTGCGGTGGGCTATTGATGAATTATTATTATTATTATTATTATCGAAATTTTGATTTAAAAGGATTACCATTGAGGAGGTTGTTCTAGCTAAGCATAGAGTTTAGAAATTTATGAATTTAATGAGCTGTTAAACTTATCATTTCTAAGCTCTGTTGAGCATTGAGCAAAGTTATTTATAGGTCTAATAAACTTTCAAACTCATTAATTTTAAGCTCCATCAATGTTAAGCTTGTGCTCTTTTCTTCACAATAGTATGGTGCAACTTTGGTTAGTAATGGCCTTTTTCAATATATATATAAACACCGACAGAAAAACCATGACTTCTTTTAACACAAGGCTGAAACAAATAATAGTAGTGCAAAAATAAATTCCCGTTCAGGGAAAAACAGATTCTGGTTGCGTTGGCTGAGAAATGTGCCTTCACCACACAACATTGGAACTACAGCTTCCAAGATGCAAAATCAAACCCATCAACACGAAACAAAAGATATCAACGCAAAATGGGATCTACCTTGCCTGTAATAATGTAATCGAGCATTTGTTAGCTGAATTTGCTGTGCCCTCGCTTGTTGAACTTGCTTCAGCTGGATCCCTTTCAATAAAAAAACCTGGATGTTTAGGCTGAGGTAATGTATTGTCATTACTCAACATCAAAACCACATATGACATGTCTGGCCTATCTTCTCGATTATCTTGAACACAGAGTAGAGCCACGTGAATTGAACGTAGCACTTGAGATAGATTGCATGCTTCAATTATTGATTGCCTAACCAGTTCCATAGGCCTCCCTTCTCGGAATAGTCTCCAAGCCTAATAAACAAAACCATGTTACCAATAGCAGATTTGGTATCTAGAAGTAAGAAATGTTTCCACTGACACAATGTTCTCTAGACTCTGAGATCCAAATCCAAAAATAGATGTGTGTGCGACATGCTTAACCTTCTCAGAATTGTTTTCTTTTCAATACTTCATCATTTATTTTATCAATTTAAGGCGTACTATCAGTAGACATGATCAAGCCTATGGAAACCTGACACAGGTTTCAGAGTATAGAGAAATGATGAGTCCAAGTAATATAGTTTTTGCACTTACATGCCCTAGAAGGTTAAGACTGTGTTCTGGATGACTGAACCCCCTGTTCTTATATCCACTCACTATCTCTAGCACCAATACACCAAAGCTGAAGACATCCGATTTTACCGAGTAGAGCCCTTCAATTGCATACTCTGGGGAAATGTAGCCACTGCATGTATTCAACGAATGTTAAGGTTGCATTTGCAGAAAATGAAGGTAAAATCACATCACTTACTATGTTCCAGCCACTTTAATGGTATTGGCTTCAATTTCATTTCCTCCAAAACTTCTAGCCAGGCCAAAGTCTGAAATCTTTGGGTTCAATTCATAATCCAGTAGAATATTGCTGGCTTTCAGGTCCCTATGAATTACTCTTAGTCGTGAATCTTGATGAAGATAAAGAAGTCCACGAGCTATTCCATTGATGATGTTGTAGCGTGTTGGCCAATCTAGTAGCGTGTCCTCTGTTTCATCAGCACAATTTTGTTTCTAAGGTCAGTACATTATGGTCCATATCAGGTCTTAAATGTGTATGAAAGAAAACAAAACAGTTTGTGATGAGTAGCAATAGAAAAATTTGAAATTATAATCTCAAATAAATAAGGTGGCAGGTGTGACAAAGAAAGTGGAGGAGATACTTCCCACCAATCCTTTGTCATAAAGGCTATAAAGGAAGCTCAACAAATGGTTGTTTTTGGTGCTGATGGCGGCCTCCTTTTCCTCTGAACTACCAAACTTAATTTCAGGTCTTTTCTCAAAGCAGTACACAGAGACTTGATTTTGGTATTAGTACTAAGTCGGTGATAAA